GGTTCTGAGTTCTGTCAAGTTCTGAGAATTGGAGGTATGAATGATAATGTGTAGGAAAGTGTGGTAAACTATTCCTCGATGTCTTTGTATGGATGTGTTGTTGTGATGTTTATGAAAATCCCTCTCAATTGATGTCATGATATCTATACTAAACTATTGTCAGACAACTAATAGTTAATCCCAATAACCAAATAATCACTTCAAACACATTTTTAGTAAAAATATTTTTACTTTAAAAATGAGATAATTTTTAGTCAAATATTTTGTTGTAAATCAAAATAATTCCGACCGACAAAGTTTTAAAAAATCCTGTTCTTAAATGATTCACCCGATCTTGATGAAACTTAGATTCTGTTGCCTAAAGATGTTAACTTAAATTATGAAACTAATTTCAGAATTTTAGTTAAACTCCTTCACCTTCAAGGAACTAGGTTTCCATTTAATCCAATAGAATACTTAACACATTATAAGAAAGTTATAATTATTTATTACAAAATTGCGCTTTTCTATACAATTCTAAAAGTGTTCAAAAATTTAATTATAAGTTTTAACTGTTTTTTACCATATTTTAAATAGCAAAGGGAGATACAATTTAAACAATTGAGTGAAAGGGACAATGACATTGAGATTGCTGTGTAGGGCATATTTTTAATATAAAATAATTCTCTGGATTCTGTAAAAAATTTTATTCTAAAAGCTAAATATAAATAAATTAAAAGTTTAGCCTCTGCTTAGAATTACTTTATAAACCTGATATATTTCTAGTTTTATACAACACTACATAAATTAATTAAATGCGATATTAATTAACACAATCAAAATAGTCTTTATTGCTATGTGTTAAATGAAAATTATATTACAAGCAATTTTAATATAATCAATAGATTATAAAAACTATAGTTATTATCAAATATTTTATTAAATACTTTTGTTATGTGACTGAATTTGACATTTCATTATAGCAAATGTACATTCTTTATAACATATTTTATACTATATCTTCTGTTGGCTTTAATGTTTTAAATGTTGGTATTGTAAGCTATTTATTAAAAATACTTAATTAGTAAACTAAATATTAAAACAAATTAACATCGTATATATTTGTGAATTCATGTGTAATAAATGTTATTTTATATATAAGTTATTTTAATTGTAAAAATGTGTGAATTATTAAAAGAGATTTTAATTTGTAATAAAATTCCCATAAATATTAAGAAAAATATTACAAAATTACACGTTTTTCAAAATTTTTCTGGTTTTGATGGATTACAATATAAATACAAATACAATGTATTATTTGTTACAAACAATGATATGGTCTATGGTTTGGGTGATAATAGTATGGGATGTCTGGGTTTTGGACACAAAACTCCTATATCATCATCTCAACTGATACCACATTTATGCCATCAAAACATACAATACTTTGTCAATGGAATGAATTTTGTGTTAGCAGTGAATGATATGAATATAATATATGGATTTGGGAATAATTATTATGGGCAATTGGCCCGGGGTGAAAGTGATAATGAATACGATTGTTTGATACCAAGGATAATTAAATATTTTAATAATAATATCCTCGAAATAAGTGCTGGTAGTCTTCACACACTGGCCCTCACAAGTGATGGCCGGGTCTATGCCTGGGGTAACAATAATGAGGGACAAATTGGTTGTGGAAATAATAGTGAATATATTTGTACACCAATTGAAATACAATTCAATAATAATTATAAAATACAATCCATTTATTGTTATTATAACTCTTCATTCGCCATCACAACCGACGGACATGTGTTCAGTTGGGGTCACAATAATTACAATCAATTGGGACACAATATAACCGATGATATTGTATTACAACCCCGATTCATATCACCACTAAATAGTGTGAAAACAATTAGTTGTAGTGCTTTTGGGACATATTTTTTGACAACATATGGGTTTTCATTTTGTGGAAAACATTTAACATATAATTTAGAAATGATTGAAAAAATACCAAAACAAATACTATCTGAATATTGCGTCGACTATATACAACAAATTAAATCATGGACCAATAAATATCATAATCAATTCATGTGTGTTTTAATAAACAGTAAATTATATAAAATATCAAATGAACACAAAATAATTAAAACAAATTATAATAATTTTATCGACTTTTACGCCAATGAATACCAAATTACTTATAAAACAATTGATTTAAAACCAATACAAACACCAATTGAAAGTAAAAATGATGGTAATTATGAAACACAAGTCAATGAATTATTGCAACCGATGGCCAGTCATAGCAAAGATGATAGAGTGATACAAACGAGTGGTAATTTTAGTTACTTGTATAGTGAATACATATTTTATTTAAAATTATTTTGTTTTAATCAATAGACAAACACCAGAAAGTTTCTATAAAATCTACACATAATGTAAAGTCCACTGAAACTGTCTCAAAACAAATACAGTCAAAACCAGTTTTAGTGGACACCGATAAATCACATCAGGGTAAATTATTTCTAAACAATTTATTAACTGAACTGAAAATACATTTCTTCAAATATGTAAATACACAAATTCAAATTTCTTATAGTTGCTGGTATTGAGTCAAATAATAACTATTACCATGATCATTTTGAGCAATTGGAACAAATTGGTAGAGGTGGGTTCGGTACAGTGTATAAAGTCACACATAAATTAGATGGTGATGTGTACGCCATTAAAATAATTAACCTTAAGGGTAAGTCTAATGGCATGATTATAATATGTACCGTATTTCGCCGCATATTAATTATATTTACATTGTCTTATATTTTGCAGACACTAGTGATGAGCGTAAATACCGAATGCTAAATGAAGTAAAAAGTTTGGCAAAAGTTCGCTCACAATATGTGGTCCAGTATTACAATTCATGGCTCAACGACAACACCAATGAGTTGTACATTCAGATGGAGTATTGCCCGCAAAGTTTGCGCACAGTATTGGCCGACAAAGCGCTGGCATTTGGCCGACAATTAGCGGCGGAACCGATGAATGTGTTTGAGTATTACATTTCGTGCGAACTATTCAAACAAGTCTTAGAGAGTGTTCAATATCTTCATGAATGCAAACCACCAGTCATTCATCGGGATCTCAAACCCGATAACATATTAATTGATTCCAACATTAGATCCAATTATTGTGTAAAACTGTGTGACTTTGGTTTGGCCACCGATCACAACATCGATGGTAACACTACCAGCCGATACGGGCACACATCATGTGTGGGCACAATTGGCTATATGGCGCCCGAAGTGCTTTCAGGCAGTGTTTATAACCACAAATCCGACATTTATAGTCTCTCATTAATCGGTCAGAAGTTGTTTGATATCGATCTCCAGGCGTAAGTGTTTTATCAATATTTTATTTTCAAAATATGTTTAATAAAATTATTCATTTACTTATAGCTCGCAATCATTTCAAGCCAAACAATCGGTGTTTAAGAAATACATACAAAGTATGTATGAAATGTTGGAGAAAATGATGTCAACTCCGCGTTGGAGACAAAGGCCTNAGTATGTATGAAATGTTGGAGAAAATGATGTCAACTCCGCGTTGGAGACAAAGGCCTGAGTGTCGGGAAGTGTTGGCCAAACATAACAAATGGTTTATTAATAAGACTGTTGTCTCTAATCATAAAAATTTTAATTCAGTGTTAAATACACTTAAAACTAATGATAATTCACTTTTCTATGAAATTTTGTTGCGCATAAATAATTAGTGTGATTTATGATCAAATTAATTATATATAGTACTTGATTGTTTCAAAACTAATTATTTAATAATAATTGTTTTAAGTTTAATATGCAATAATAATTATAAGTATATTAATTCTACAATGCTTGTTATTCTTTAAAAAGTAAAATTGTAAATAAATTAAATTAAAGTGATTAAACAGTACAAAATGCAATACAAAAATATTATAATAAAAATATACAGTATGTCATTGTATTCTTATGGATTGTGATGACTAGTAACATTAATATTGGTAAAATATTTATAAATTTTAGTACTCATTAAATATTGCCGTAAAAGTTGATGAAATTGTCGACTAAACCAGAAATAAATAACCGGATAAAACAGCGACGTCACCTGAAACGCACAATTGAGCAAATAAATATAGCTAGCTGATTTAGCTGAACAAAAATTTTGACCTTGGTGATTAAAAACATAGCGAAGTCTGGTTATGGAGTGGACGTGATATACGGAGTTAGTGACCAGAAATAGTGTGAAAATCATAATTAACTGACGGATTACACGTATTTCCAGATTGGATTCGCCCCTCAAATAGTCTCTAATGAATACAACGATTATAATTGCCGTAAATATCAATATCGAGAGCGCGGGTATGAAGTACTGGAAGATAAGCCGTATTAAAGTAGACATCGCTTTAAACATGGGATCATTGATCAGGAAATGCATATAACTGTCGGTATGAATACATGAGACCAAACCGTTGATGTTATCAATGAGATAGACATCGTTTGTCACAACGAAAGGCACCGATAATATCGCACAACACATCCAAACGCTGAACAATAACTTCTTTGCCGACACTTTGTTGAGAGGATTATCAGTGTTGAACACATTTACGAGACAATAGTATTGATCGCACGATAGGATTGCCAGTGATATGGATGTGGTATACGTTGAAAGGGCGCTGAAATAGTTGGCCACCGATTGTATGACTGATAGGACCAGAGGTCGGGTGCCGGCGGTGTTGAGCGCCGGCGATATTATATATGGCCAGCAAAATGAGAAAGACATGAGTAGTCCCGAGTAAGCGATGTTTGTCATCAAAAGTTTGGCCCTTTTGTTGCCGGAAAGTGTGTTGTGTTTAATTGAGTAATGAATTACTTTCATAGTAATTATATCGGTTATAACGGACACTAATTGTATAACAATTAGTATATAAATTATAATATTTTCTACTTTTGTCATATGAAAGATATAAATAAAGTCGTTTTCAGACATTTTTCAAATAAGATTTTTTTGCGTACAATTTGAATGAATTACTGAACGTATTAAAGTTTTATTACAATTACAGTATTTTGAGAATATATTTAAGTTTTTATCCCTAAATTGTTTGCTGTGAAATGCAATATTTACACAATACTTAACATTTGTCAGTATTTCATTGCAAACGTTAAACGAAAAGTGATTTTTATTGAAGACTTAATATAAATTAACCGTTAAGTTGTATATTAAGTTGTATTTTATTTATTTGTAAATATTAACTGTTTTGTAACTGTTTTAACTGTTAATAATTTTATATTAAATTTTGTTTATTTGCTAACATTATCATAAATCAATAATACTACTAATATAGTAGAATTACTCTTTGTAGTATTTATACTTAAATTGCTATAGTACTGTTTATATGTAGTATTTTATGATAAATTAATAAATCTAGGTTTATTGTCACAATCAGAAAATATTATGAACATTAAATAAAAGTAAAACTAAAAATTCAATTAAATTTGAAAGTAAAAGTAAATAAAATTTATAATGAAAATATATTTCATAAAAATAAGTTGTTTGTTACCCATAAAACAGAAATCAAAAAACTTAAATTAAATTAATTTTACATAGTGTCATATAAACAAAATAGTAAAGGTAAAATAAATAAATTATAAACCACTAGATGGTGAAATAGTTGTGGCAAACTTTTATGAATGTTATATAATCATGCGTTTTAGTTATGTAAACAAAGTTACTTCATTATATTAACATGATATAACAAAACATTAACGTAAAATGAAATAATTGTAATATTTATCAAACCCATTAATTACTAAATTATTACTTGTTATAAATTAAAATATTTATAATTAATTAACGGTAATATCCGATGTAATTATAGTCATGTATAATATTTAATTATTAATTACAATAAATTAATTTGTGTAAAAGTATAAAATTTACTTTTATTTTAAAAATAATAATTACTTTTAATAAATGTCTGAAATTTTAAATAAGTTCAGAATTTGTGCCAAAATTCCACACAATTTGAGACAAGAAATTAAATTATTTCATGTTTTCAATTATGGAAATGACATATTGTTTGTGACAACCGGTGATCGAGTCTATGGGTTGGGCAGTAATACTGACGGAGTGTTGGGTTTGGGACACAACCGACCCATTCATACACCCGAAGAAGTGCCGCAATTAAGTCATCAAAATATACAACATTTTTTCAAAGGTGTGGTCTTTGTATTGGCTTTGAATAGCGATCACCAGTTGTACGGTTGGGGTCGCACTACGTCTAACCCGAGTGACACTTATAGTAAACCCAAACATATATTATTATGTATATCACGTGATATACGTATTGTGAAAGTATCATGTTCACCAATCAGGGCGCTGGCCCTCTCATTGGATGGACACGTATATCAATGGGTATATAATTTTATGGAAACACAACAACTAATTGGAATACAATTTCCCGTTAAATACAAAATTGTGGACATTATGTGCGGTAAAGGGAAGTCATTTGCCATTACAGCCAATGGAGAGGTGATTATGTGGACAGACAGCAGACATAATAAGATAATAACAGTAAATATACCAAAATTATTACAAAATGTACATAATATAAGAATTGTATTCACTGATGATGATGATATAATTATGCTGTCACATGATAGACACGTATATAAATATAATATCAAAAATAAGAAAATGATTATGGATAACAATTTACTGCTAAATGATCTAGTTCAATTAACTCATAATTCTATAATTGTGGGAATTAGCGATGAAAAAGTATACGAATATAAATGGGGAGTATTTATTGAAACAAAATTTACAATAATTGATGAGTATTTCGCTAATAAATACCAAATTAGTTATAAAACTCTTGATAATACTAAACATGATAATCACCAGCGGTTTTATAATACAAGACAGCATTATGGTAAGAAACACCAAAATAATTAAAGTAATATTTGATTATCTATTTTAATTTAATAATAAATTATAAATTTTATTAGAAGGCAGTCATGAGATACATGGCCTCGAAATCTATGACATATTGAAAACGTTAGGTTCGGGTAGTTTTGGACAAGTGTTTCAAGTGATGGATAAACATAAGAATATTGTATATGCGATTAAAAAATGCTCATTAAATGGTAGTAATTTAATAAATAATTAAAGGTATATCTAATGAACATTAAATTTATATTAAGATTTGACAGAAAAACATAAACAAAATGTATTGAGAGAAACGGAAAACTTAATAAAATTGCGCTCAGAATATGTCATTAAATACTACTATTCGTGGATTCAATACAACTGTCTCTACATTCAAATGGATTGTTTGGCCGGAAATTTGAAACAACTTTTGGATAATAAGAAACAATTATTTGGAAAAATAATGACTGAATTTGAATATTATTTATCGTATAATATATTCAAACAATTGGTGGAAAGTGTGGAGTATTTGCATAAAAAGCATATCATTCACAGAGACCTCAAACCCGATAATGTCTTAATTGCAAACTATAATGAGATGTATATATCAAACAAACATAATTATAGATATATAAAGTTATGTGACTTCGGTTTGTCTAAATCCGTGGATGTATTGAGTGATCGATACAAACAAAGTAGTGTTAAACACACCAAAGATGTCGGAAATGTTGAATATATGGCACCCGAAGGACAGACCACTGAATACAACCATTTACTAGATATTTATAGTCTGGCACTCATTGGGGCACAAATTTTTGGGTTTAATACAAGAGATATTGAAAACGGAAAGTATGTTATAATAGGATTGAATATAAACACAATTTATATAAATTTCAATTGTATTTATATTTTTAGATTGGATTCTAATTTGGAAACTAATACTGATTTGAATCTAAGGAATAAATTATCAAAAATAAATCAATTATTGGTTGAAATGAGTGCTAATAAGTGGTCAACAAATGGATCGACAGATTGGAGACAACGACCTGAAAGTGGAGACATTTTAAATAAATTAATGCATTTATCGATTGAACCGATTGTCGAGAGAAATGATTTATTATTCAATAATATAATTGAAAACAAATTCACACTATTTTCTAGATATTTCCGCGAATGCCATAGGATTTGCGTTATTTGCCAAACGAGTGATGAAAATAATGGTAAACAGAAATTACTTTTACATTTATTAATATTACTTCATACAGCGATTGATAAATGTTGTATTCTTATAGATATAATGCAAACTATTAAATCATTTAATAGTGACAGGTTTAATATATTTTATGGGGCCGTCATACCTTCGCGCAAGATTATTAAAGTAACACATATTGCAAATAATAACTTATATTATGTGAGCAAGTTTAATCATTATGGTAAGTGTCATATTATTATTTAATACTGAAAATTGTAAATTAATTTGATTTAAGCATAAATGTTAATTAACAACTTTTAACATTACATTTTATATTATAGGAACAAAAGATATTAAGGAAATTATAGCCAATATTAGAAAAATATTTGCATTAAAATCTCAATATTTGTTACAAATCCATAACTCGTGGATTGAAAACAACGAGATTTACATTCAATCGGAACATTGTTCCCAAACTCTATGGCATGTGATATATGCAAAGCACAGCATATTTGAGAAACAAACCCATCACTCGTTGGCTATGTTTTCAATTGATTTCCTTATTTCACAACAATTGTTGAGACAATTATTACATTGTATTCAAGCGGTGATTGCTTTAGATATAAATATGGCATATATTTCAATTAAACAAGATCATATCTATGTGGTAAACGATTATCTAATGAATGTGAATTGTATAAAACTATATTATCATGGAAAATATGCCCCGAATAAAATTCCATCGACAATTTATCAAATCCGATATATTATTAAAAGTTTGTTTGAGCTACAATTAAAACAATTTAAGTATAAACATGAATTTTTATTTTATTTTTTAAATAATTGAATGATTATAAAATAATTTTTTATTTTAATTAAATGTTTATAGAAATGGTTATAAAGACATTGATTACAAGTCATATATTTTGGATAATTTTGGCGTAAAAGTCGATCAAATCTATGGATTTATTAATAGATTAAGTAATAAGGGATCGGAAAATATGAAACAAAATATAAATGATATAATTAATGAATTCAATGCTATTTTTGGTGAAAATACAAATGAAATAAACGCTAATATAATCTCACGGATGAAAAGTGCAATTCTGTGGCGAATCCCTATATTTAACGCAAAATCAATTGAATATAAATTCATTTATAAGTATTTCAAACAATTAGTAGAACAAAAAACGATGTAATTAATCGCTGTATGAAATAATTAATTATTTAAATAAATTTTAAAAATTACCAAATTAAAAAATACAGAGGTTTATAAAATGAGTATATGGGCACTTTTCTAGTTAATTTTCCGGCAAATACTGTATGTATGATAGACAGTCTTTCTATATATCATTTTGACCATCACATAACCTACTCTTGATTCATATAATTATTAATATAAATGCAATTACTGGTTGGCCAACAATTGACCCGAACCTTAAGTATACCATTTTTGATCTTTTACGGGCAAACTGGCCAAAGATGTAGATAATAATGGAACCAAAGTTTCATTTGATACAAATTTGCATATAAATTATTAATATACTAAATATTTAACAAATTTGAGCCAGAATACATCTATGACAATCATATATAACAAATTTAGGGCTATTTTAAAATCTTGAAAATGTTAAAATTAACAGTTTTCACATCTCTATGGGCATATAACATGGGGTTTAAATGTTTTGAAAGTTGACGAAAAAGAATATTTACAAAATTTGATCAAAAATTAAATTAACCATGGTTTAAACTAATTTTTAATATACATTAACGTTTGGACTATCATTCTACGCAAAAATCTATTAATTAATATTAGTAATTGCTGAGAAAATTAATTAGAAAAGTGCCCATAAACTCATTTTATAAAGCTCTGTATATTATGAGAAAATAATTTAATTTGCTGTGATTATAAATTTTATTAATTCAAATAAAATAAAATAACTAAAGCCGACCGAAACCAAAATTGTGATCAGTTTTGGATAATTAAAAAATAAATTATAAAATATTTTTTTAGCAACTTTTTATTTTAAAAAAACTAATCCAAACATTTACTAAAACTAATGTACAGTATATAATGTGTAGTGTTTTGTAACATTTTAATTAAACACAGAATTTAATATTAATTACTTTAATGTAGTTTAATTAACAAACGCTGATTTAAATCAGAGAATATTTAAATATAAACAACAGATTAATTATTAAGTTTAATAATTAAATATTGCAAATTAAATTCACAATAAAATGACAGTAAAATGAATAATTAATTATAAACTCAATTAAATGATACATAAATGGTTACAATTGTGTTCTGGCATTGAGATAACAACCTTAGGTATTTAAAATTCACACCATTAAATGCCAATAATATTTATCATTTTGGAAAGCGCTTATAATTCAAAGAGTAGTGTCAGCCATACCTACATCTGAATGGCTTAAAACGATAACCGAGTAAATGATGGCGTGCTCGGTGTCTAACCAGATCATGTGACCAATTGGCCCCGTACTCGCATCCCTGCCATTTGCATCGATACGGTTTAGCCCGCTTTAGCGATCGCCGCTTACCGGTGGCCATCACTCGCCCCAGACGTTGACAGTGGCCGGTACTCGACGTAACGATCGAGTGTTCAATCGGTGTCTCACATGTGGCCAAACATCCATTGTTGGCGGCTATTGATAATAATGGTGGACACGTTTTGTCGCCTGTAATCGTGGTCTTTGCCGCCACTTCGCCGTTGGGTTTGTTAAGTATTGACGACTGAATGGCGTGTTGTTTCTTATGACGAACCAGAGATGAAGGCCAATTGGCCCGATACTGACAGTCGGGCCAATCACACGCGTATGGCCTCAAGTCGTTGTGCGCGATCATGTGATTAACCAGATTATGGCACAGTTTGGCCTTAAATCTACACTCAGGCCAAAGACATGGGTAGAGACCGTCGGCCGATATCTTAAAGTTTTCACGCAGTAGTTGTCGTTCGGATCGGATATCATATGCGGGTATTTTCTCGGCCCCGTTGTGGTCATCGGTCGCGTCCAGTGTTTGCTTAGCATTGATTGTCTCGGGAGTAGCCGTAGAGTGTGTGCGTATGAGTGTTCGGCGGCGCCACTGGTAAGGGGCCCGTTCTCCGCGCCCGCCACTGGGAGTGATAGCTCCTATAGTGGGTGCGTGTAGTTTCCTGTGTGACATCAGGATATTTTGCGTATTGGCCCGATACTCACATCCGGGCCAATTACACCGGAATAGCCTTAGGTCATTGTGTGCCATCATGTGATCGACTAAATATTTGGTCCGTTTGGCCGAAAATTTACAGCCCGGCCGCAGACATGGGTACCGGCCGTCGGCCGATCTCTTGAAGCTTTTAAGCAGTCGTTCTCTTTCGGATCGGATCTCATTTGTGTCCATTGCGTTGGAGTCAGAGGTACTCAGTGTTTGACGCCTATCGCTGTGGCTATGGTTCGCGTCCGACATTTCATAAGCATTTGTTGTCTCATTAGTGGCCAAACAGTCATCACTGGCGGGCGTTGATAGCGTTGCTGTAGTGGAAGAAACATGGACTTCGGTTGGGCTGACCGGAGGGCTGTCGTCAATTGTGATGACCTCTTGTGCGGCGACTGTGCTCTGCAATGGGTTGGCAGTGGCGGCACTGGTATTGAAATAATTTACGCTATGGAGACATTATTAATAATTATTATTTATTAAATTAGTAACTTATTAAAAATATATAACATATAAAAATAAATACCTATTATATAAATAGCGTTCACATTCACAGAATCCAAGATTGCAGTAGTTTGCTGGCACCACAATTTGATCATGATAGTAAACTCCATTATACCAAACTGGATTTAATGCTGTGGAAGTGTTCGCATAAATATAGTTCATTGGGTGACCATTTTGATTATGGTACAAATTAAACGAATCGTTAATTATGGGCAATGTCTGAGCCTGATGATTATTGGGCGCAAACTGATGAGTCAAGTGAGTAATGTGGCCCGTGGTTGTATTATGATGACCATGATTGCTCGTACGACTGGTCGGTACCCAATTTGATATCACATAATTACCAGCCCTTTGGGATCCACTGAAAGATTGGTCAATGGAGACATTTAATGGATCAATTTGGCCGATGTCTGTCGATAATGTGTGCGACAAATCAGTGGCAGTATTGGTGACACTCGAGTGGCTATTAATTTGCTGAACGAGAGGACACGGGGAGGCACTTTGGCTAACAGTCACCTGATTGTGATAAATGTATTACTAATTAAACAAACTATAACATAATTTATAATAAAATTATTATTAATGTTAAAAATAAGTTATACTTGTCTTAGATCAAGCGATTGATTAGCAATTAATTGACTCAATCGGTGCTCTTTAAAAGCGTCGAGTTTGGGGTGAAGTTGTCGGCAAAACTCGCAAATTGGTCCGCATTTGTCGCACATAATCACCACAGTCTGGCCGTGGATCCCACGGCACGACTTGCACACCACCTGAGCATTCATTATAGTTTGATGTCTGAAAAAACAAAACTTTTGCTTAAAAAACTTGAATGAAGTTTGAAAGACAACTGAAGCACAACTAAAGGGATGGCTTATAACTGTGAGATGGACTTAAGTTAGGGCTGTTATCAGTTATAACATAGGGCTAGAAGTGACTCATCTCAACAATGTCTTTGTCTTGGGCTGTATTGCATGATGTGATGCAATGCAATGAAATCGTGGTAACCCTTTGCCTAATATTGTGCTAACCTTTGTGCACATCTATAACGCCATCACGTGTTTAACCAGTTTTGCTTTTTTTTCGTGAACCAAAACATTTTTCAAAAGCTTAAATGAAATGTTCTAAAGGAATTTACGTATAGACATGCATTTTTA